CCTGGGCATTTCTTTTAATAATATAATTAGATAGACAAGATGTATTTTTTTTGAGCTGTATATTAAACCCTTCAGGGAGATGAGATGGTTTTCAGGCAGGAAATTCCCCTCAGCTCAGTCAGCTTTTCCAAACTGTTAAAAAAAATAAACCTTTGCTGTCAGTTTGTTCCTTTTTTGAATAAATTTTGAAGAAATCCTTATTTGAATAAATTCTGTCCCCGAGTTTGCAGAGGAACTTTTTAAATATCTAAACCTGCAAACTCAACACTTTCCAGCCACTGCTTGCCACCACTGGAAGCACTGGGAGAGTTTCCTCTTCCCAACTCCTCTCCCTCCGATTCTGAGTGAGGCAAAGGGTGTAGGGAATGTTTTCCAGGAGCAGCAGAGCCAGAAATTCCCAAAGCTGCCTTACCTCTCTGACAGAGGCAGTCTCCTCCACAACTATCTCCATCTCGGGGCTCGAGTTTGGGTCGCTCCCAACCATAAAGTACAGGAAGAGCTAAAAATGGGATCAGAATAAATATGGGAATAGTGAGAAATAACCACTCCCTGCTGCAGGAACGGCATCAAACTGCACTGAAACACCTCTGGGCTAAAGCACCCAAGCCAAGCAGCACAAACAGAGCAGTAAAGATATCAGAGTTATTCATTAACTCCACAACTCCTCCTCTTGGACGGGGCTTGGAGCAACCTGGGCTAGTGGAAGGTGTCCCAGCCCACGGCAGGGGGTGGAATGGGATGAGCTTTAAGGTCCCTTCCAACCCAAACCATTCTGGGATTCCATGATGTTTACAACTTAGAGATTCCAAGAGCAGCAGCCCCCCTTGGCATCCTTGGTGCCCTTCACAAAGGAGATGCACGAGACTCTTTCCCTCACGGCTCTACCTGAGTGGAAGTTGGAGCCTTCCCACGGCACAACCCAAGCAAGCTTCCCATCTTCAGTTCTGCTTCCTTGACAGTGTAATCCTCAGGCACTTCAGGGAGGATAAAAACATGGAGAACATCATCAGCTGCTGTTTCCTGGAAACATCAATTCTATCCAGCTGCTCTTTAGAGCAAAAAACCATTTTTAGAATAAAACCATTCTGTGACCTGTGGAGAACTTCACTTCCCCAGCTCTGCCCGCAGATCTCCAAGTCTCCCATGATGAGAGCAAAGAGATGGAGATCTCCCAGGGCTCCTTCTCTATCCTTGGGACCTCTCCCACTGTGAATCCCTTTTTTCCCCACCACCAGCCCAGCTGGAATTTCCCTCACTGAAACTGCCTCTGATCCTTTCCACGTGCTCCTTCGGGAAGAATCTGCCTCTGCCTTCTCTAAGATTCCACATTAAGGAGTTAAAGATGGCAATCAAGACTCCCCCCCCCCATCCTCAGGAAGCTGGAAGAGCCCAGCTTCCCTCCTTTTCCATCCATCCCAGCTCCCAGACCCTCTGGGTGCTCTGCACTGGACAGGTTTTAGTTTGCAAGGGCTCCTTTCTCCTGCTGAGCCCCCAGAACAGGAACAACATTCCAGGTGTTGCCTGACAAGCACTGAATGGAAGGCAATTAATCTCTCCTTGGGTTTTATTAATGCAGTGTATGAATAAAAATAGCAAAGACATGGAAAATGTTTCCCAGGAAGCTCCTCTCCACTGCTCCAACACTTCCCAAACCAAAGCTGGGGGTCCCTTTGTGCCCAACTCTGCCCCCCAGGAGCACAGCTCAACACTGACAGCTGGAATTAGGGATGGCAATAATCAAATCAGTTTGACCTCTACCTTTGTGTGGCTGCTGTTAATGAACCTAAAAACTGGGGGAAAAAAACCCACCCAACTGCTTCAGTTAAGTCTGGAAATCAGGGAAGTTCTTCTCCCAGGGAAGGACAAGGGGGAGCTTCAAATCTCCTCAGTGATTCCTTATAGAACAAGGATGGAACACATCAATTTACCTGGAGACAGAAGTTTCCCATTCCCACTAACAGGTCTGAGACAGCTCTCACTTGCTGTAACAAAAAGGGCAGGAAAGAGAGATGTATTAAATGATTCAAGTAAGAAATTTGGCTCAGAATTAAGATTAATTACCATTAGATTAATTACAACAGGTCTCCCCACCTGTGACATCAAAATCTCAACTGGAGAAATTCCCAGAAAGTCCCTGAACAATCTTTTATTCTTTTGCTGAAGGATCACTTTTCTCTTTTAAAGTACAATCAGCAAAATCTTACAAAACTGGCCAAGTGCTTCCAAAGGGAAAGACAACAAAAACTTGAAAGAAGACTGGAGACTCTTCCAGAAAGGAATAAAGTTAAAAAAAAAACCTTCTTCAATTGTGAGTACAATACTTTAGTAAGACAACACAAATATTCCTACTCAAATAAGTAAAATAAGAGCCTCATAAAATGCATTTTAATCAAGACTTATACTGATTTATTTTCTTAAAGCTTGGAAAACTAATAATTAAATTTAAAATTAAATGAGTTTTAGCTCCTTTGCAGCCTCTTTCTTTCCAAAAAAATCCAAACAAAAACCAAAACCCACCAAACAAAAAAAAAGAACAAAAAACCCCAAAAAACCAACCAACCAAAAAACCACCCACCCAACCAACCAAAAAACCAACCACCCAACCAAAAACCAACCAACCAATAAACAAAAACAAACAAAAAACCAAACATAAACCAAACAAAAAACCAAACCAGAACAAAAAAAACCCAAAAACAAACAAACAAACAAACATAAAAAACAAACCAAAATCCCAACCAAACAAAAAAACAAACAAAAAAAACTAACAAAAAATCTCCTAATAGCAATGGATTTGCTGTTTTGAATAGACTGGAAAAACCAGGAAAATCCTGCTAAATTCAGTAAATTGAGTATTATCAGACAAAGGTGAAGCAGGTGAACACTCACCAAGTTCCTCTCCCAGGTGAAGCTCCCTTATTGCTTTCATTTTGATATCTGACATCACCTAAAAGAAAGGAATTTTAAGACTTCCAGCAGGGAATGCCAGGAACACCCCTGCCTGGATAAATGCCACTCCACAAAGAGCAACAAATAATCCCTCCCTCCTCTTTCAGCTTTGGTTTCCTGCTATCACCTCAAACACACAGGACAGGCCAAAAACCAAAATTGCTTCACACTAAAACACTGCCCTGGTTTAATTTACCTGCCAAATACCCCAATAATGGGAACTTCTGAGCTCCAGAGTATTTTCAGCAGAGAAAAACTTCACCCCTGAGGCTAAACCTGATTAATTGGGCAAAGGGCAGTGAGCAAGCTTGAGGAAAAGAGCCCTGGCCAAGCAGAGTCCTTACTGTTTCAATAGTGGCAGTAATTTTAACTTGGTTCTCTTCATCTTCTGCCCCACAGAAGTTCTTCACTTGGAGCCAGCTGATGTCACAGGTAAAGGCTGTCAGATTGCCACTGGAAATGTTCACAAAGCTGTGAAAAATCAACAGTGCAGAGACAGTCAGAGACAGGAAAGCTACCCATTGTCAGGGTAGGTCACTCCCCAGCAAAGCTCCCAAACAAACTGATGATTCTGAGGTCATTAACAGTGATGGAACATCACAGGGTGAGGGTCAGGCAGCAAGTGCAAGGAGAGCAGAAATTTGAATCTGACAACTTAAGATTCAACTGGGAGATCCCCCTTAAAGGATAAAACCTTATGGTGGCTTTACCCTGGCACAGCTTGGGCTGATGGTCTTCTGATATTGCTCTGCCCTCTCATCCCCCCAAGTCCCTCAGACTCAACCCCCAGAAATTCAGGTTATGCCAGATATTTGCCAGCACACTGAGCACGTGTTGTTCCCACCAGGTGTGGAAGTCAAAGGGATGTGTGTCTAAGAATATCTAACAGCTGACAAGTGTCTGATCTCCAGAACTTAAGACTGACCTTTTAAATACAAAGCAAGGTAAAGCGATAATTAGTTACAAGAAGGTATCATTTTAACTGAACTGATAATTTAGTTACAAGAATGTACCATTCTGAACATTGCCAAAATCACTTTTGTGTTTAATTATGCCCCTAATCAAAGTGGTCACCTCTGGTCATGGCTGTCCAAGACGAGCACTGAGCACCCATCCCTCAGCCCAACGCTCCGGACCGTTTCCTCCATATCTTCCTCGCGGAAAACCTCCCAGCTCTTGGCTTCTTTCTCTTCTCCAGAGCTGTTCTTGAGGACGATTCCTCCCGAGGGAGCCAGGGCTCTGTGCAGGTCCCCCAGGCTGGTGCTGCAGGAGAAGGTGTGCTGGGCCTCGGTGAAGTGCTGGCCCTTGCTTCCCTCGTTGTGCCCGGCCAGGCGCAGCACGTTCAGCACCACGGGCTCGTGCTGGGCACCCGCCAGCACCCTGGTGCCTCCCACCTGAGGGCAGCAATTCCACAGCCAGGGATTACACAGGGGACTGGGCAGCAAGGAAATCATGGAGGCAGAAAGGTGGACACTCCCCTTCCTCGTTAGATACAAAGCAGCTTCTCGCTGAACCACTAGAGTAACTCAAAGGGGTTGGGAAGAGAAAGGACAACCCCAAGGGCTGTTATCCAGAGAAGCCCCATCCCTGGAAGTGTTCAAGGCCAGGTTGGAGCAACCTGGGATAGTGGAAGGTGCCCCTGCCCATGGCAGGGAGTGGAATGAGATGAGCTTTAAGGTCCTCCCAAGCCAAATTATTCCATGGTAACAGTAGGTGGGAAACCAGGGGACACCTGTCTCATCAGAGTAAGAATAAAGGAATTTAGCCTCTCAGGATATTAAAGAACTACTCAAACGTGACTGACCCAGATCAAAAGAGTTAGATTTTAAAACCTGACGTTGAACCTAAGCAATAAATACAGTTCCTTGCTGGAGAAAATTGAATCACACAGAAAGCTGGAGTAAAAACTGCCCCAAAAACTGCCCCAAAAACTGCCCCAAAAACTGCCCCAAAAACTGCCCCAAAAACTGCCCCAAAAACTGCCCCCAAAAACTGCCCCCAAAAACTGCCCCCAAAAACTGCCCCCAAAA